CAAAATGAAAATTAGTTCCACGAGATACTTGCTGCGTTGCGGTACGTTTAACGAAGTACTAACGGAATTTCAAAGTGTTTATATGAATTTTAAATTTCTATAAAACTTCGTCGTTAAGAAACGACGTAAAAGAGTTTAAGAAAAAAACGAATAAATAGTTTGTACGTGAAACATGGTTTAAACCGCAAAAACGAATGTTTTAAAAAAAGAGAGAACGACAAACGAACGCATTTAGCAAAATAAAAAACAAAAATTAGTGCAAAAACAAAAAGGTTTCTTTCGAACAATAAGCCAAGTTAACAACATACAATAAATATCTGTTAAATATTGTTTGTGGTAGTTGTGATTTGCTCAAATTTGGCATTGTTGTTGCAGATTTCTTCTCGAGTTGTTTACCGAAATTTTTGTGATTTTGTTTTTTTTTTCTGAAATTTTTTGGCAACTTTTTCTGTTTAACTCTGGCTTTTTGTATGTGAGTGTAGCTGTGTCTGTATATTCTGCCAGTTTTTATATTAAACTTGATTTTATAGAAAACAAAATAAACAACGACAACAACCATAATACAACAAATACATGATTGAAATAAAAAAATCCCATAAAAACAAAAAAATATTTAAAGTGTTTAAAAAAAACAAAGTTTTTTTCTTTAGAGAAAATTTAAAATAAAACATGAAATATTAAATTTAAAAAAAAATATCATACCATTGCAAACCTCTTTTGAAACCAAAATCTAAAGTATTTGATAAATAAATAACAAAGTATCGAGTTACTTTATTTATATTGTCCTGGATTAAATATATCTAAAGTACTCGATGTTGTTTGTGGCCATTTAAATAAGAAAAAAAAACATACAATTTTTAGAAACATGAGTGTTTAAATTGTTAAAAAGAGAATATTTAAAAAATACCAAAAGTTAAAAGAAAAAAAATTAAAGAAAATTGTTTGATTAAAAAGAAAGCATTTGAATATTTAGCAACATGTTGGATAAATCTAATAACAGTTACTGTGCCATGGATTATGATGTTCCAGTCACTAGACCTACAAAAATTATGAAGGTGGGTTTCTTTTAAATTATTAAATTGTTATTGATCAGTTTTCCTAACGATTACTGTAAAAATATCATAAATTTAGTTAAATTATATAAGAAATTTGGCAAATTTTTAACAATGTGGAAGCACACCTTGAGATTTTAGGAAACTTTTCGGAAATGTAAAGAAGAAGTTCGTGGATAATGAAACAATATAGATTTTCTTTAATAAAGATACATTTTGGCAACAAGTTTTTTTTTTTATTGAAATATGGACCCAAAGATTAATTGGATATACATTGGATTAAGCATCGCTAAACCCAATTCTGGACTCTGAATTGTCTCCATTACATAAGGTTTTCGAGATATAGTGTTCTAAAGTTTGAAAAAATCCAGTTTTAGGCCATATTTAAGATGTTATTACACAGCGAAGACATCTTTATTTATAACGTTTCTTATTTTATCTGAAAGTCCAATCGGTCGGCTTTAAAATAAAGGTTTAACTCCTGTTATATCTTCTCCCTTCTTTGAGATATCATAACTTGAAACAACAACTACAAAAACTTGAATCTATCGTAGTGTATATTAGTATATTATGGGATACAGTCTGTAGCAGTATGATATCTCAATAGGTGAGTTTGGACCCAGGTCAGGGCTTTCGTAAAGAAGGTGTTTAACCGTTTCCTCTTTATCCCTGTTCTTGCAACTGTGACAAAATTCGTTGATATTGAGCTCAAGACAATTTTTATGTCTGGCTAGCACCCAGTGTCCAGTAATAACTGCCAGCAATCTCGATATATCCCACCTATTTCAGATTAGAAGTTATGTAGTGCGGTTCTCTTTGAAAAAAGGTCACATTAGCTTGTCCTATTGTGGTAAGATTATTCATCTATTTTGAAACTTTTCAAAAAAGAACCTGAACATACCATTTTCCCGTATGGACTTTCTCCTAACTTTGGTACATGATGTATTTTAGATTTGCTTAAAAAAGATCTCATGAATAGCCGACCTTCGGCAGGGCGCATGTGTTTTGAACTCAGAGATATTTTGAACACCGGTTTAGCTATATTAACCCTTTTTTTGATATATGGACTATTTGTAACCCGTGGACTTTGTGTCACACTGTACTCATGGACATTGTTTGATACTTTTGATATATCATAATGTCAATGGAATCTATGACACTTTTTAGTGTATCGCCACCATTTTTGTCGGACAAAACTGAAGACACAGTTAGTTTCTCGGTTCCGGTCTGTAAAGAATCGTCTGATTCGCTATGAAGGGAAACAATGCCTTGAGGCGTAAATCGAACTTAATTGATGACAAGGGAAACGACAACTATGTCAACTAATAATACTTCTTCAAGATGTTCTGCCTCTAGCAGGAACAAAAGAATCGCTACAACACCTTTGTAACTGCCCTAGAAGATTTGGCCAAGCACTTAGTGCTATTTTTGTCACCACAGCTTCTGCAGAAGAAAAAAGTATAGTACCGCCTCTATAACCGCCCGGCACTAGAATATTTGAGCTGATTTAAATCGAGTCTTTCTTACATTCCTTTTATAACACTTCGAAATAGCGATCGTAGACCCAGAAAGAAATATAATCTCTGTCCATATTAGATTCAAAAACGCTTTAGTCATGTCCATCCTTCTGTTGAAAACAGAATAGGGTGTAAACAAGAGGACTGAAATTGCAGCTATCAATACAGTTAAATTGATATTGAAAATGGGTCAAATCTGGACCTCATATAAGGTCCACTTTATAAAATGACTTTAACTTCCTTTCAAATACAAAAGAAGTGATAAAATTTTGACATAAACAATATTTTTTCCAAATATTATATGAATTGGTCCATAATTGACCCTATTGAAAATGGATAAAATCTGGCGCTCATATAAGGTCCACTTCATAACATTACTTTAAAGTTTAAAACTTGCTTCCAAATACAAAAGAAGTGATCAAATTTTAACATAAATAATAACATTTTTTTGTTATTCGTTCAGTGAAGGAACAAATTTTTTAGGGAACCAATATCTTTTTACTAACTATTATAAGAATCTGTCTCTCTAATTGACCATACATCTTCAAATAACCACTCGTACAGAAAATCACTTTATTATCAATATAAATTACTTGTTATTCGTTCCGTAAAGGTATGGTAGACTACGGGGGACAATTACAATAAGAAAAAATACAGGCTTGAAGAAAATATGAAACAAACTATTTTAAACATCGATTTAGCCAATTTTCCCATAATATTTAAAGTATTTAACATTGAAAATATTAAGATTTCTTCCACACGCAACCTCTGTACAGAACTTTTCACAACTTTGCTGACTAAAGTCTGATTTCCGCTTAAATATTTGTCTTATCGTACACAATATACTTACTAAATGATAATTTCAGGTTTTTTTTATGACACCTTAAAAAATTGTATTTGTATGGATTTCATTACTATATCTACAGCAAAAGTAAACAATGACTTATTTAAAAGATAACAAGAAATATATACAAAATATTTTGCAAAAAAAAAAAAACAAATTCAGTTAATATTGAAATTGAAACAAATTACTCAGAATTGTAACTGTAAGAAAACCAAAAAAACAATTTTACCACAAACAGTGAATAGCCCTACTATATTAATTGAAATTAAGCATTTAAACCATTTTGTTTAAAACTGATTTCTAAGCAAAATCCTTTACTCACAGATAACGGTCATATTTCTCTAAAAACAACAACAACAATATATTTTCCTTTTCTAACTCTTTTCTTTATCTACTATAGCTCAGCAGAAATTTAAGTATTTTTATAAACAAAACATAAACTACAGTAAAATGTCTTAAACCCAGATCCAATTACACAATGCTCATCATAAGTAAGAAAATACACATTAAAAACAACAAACTAAACTCAGACTATTTGTTAAATAGACAGCTGCTGCTCCAATGTCAGTCAAGCAACAAAATATATTCAGTCAGCCATTGAGCCAGGCAGCCACTTACTTCATGGGGATGCAACACACATGCAAAGACGTTTACATATTCAAAAAAAAAAAACCTAGAACTCATATGCACAACATAGATCAAAAGCAACATCATCATAATGATAAAAATCCTAATAATAATTATGATGAAAATGATGTTGTTATTGTTGTTGCTACTTTGCATTACATAAAATCATAGTCAAGTTACTTAACTATTTACTACTAGGAAAAGATGATACATTTATGCCTTTTGTTAAGATTTTTTTTTTATTTTTGCAGTTGTTGCATGTTTATATACATACATCTGTCAAATGTTTTTTAAGACCTTCCTCTATATATATATACTTTTATATAATATGCAATCATAATAGTTTTATCTTAAGATGTTGCAAGAATTTGTAACTAATACAGTCAATGAACATTTTACAAAATTGCTTTGAAGGTCTTCTTTAAGTAGATGATGGGCTTTGTAATGTAATGGATGGATATGAGATGGGTTGCTATATAACAGAATGACTGTTGTTGAATGCCTCATGCATTTATGTTGTATTTTAAAGAAGATTCAGCCTGCCTTGATTGTTGAGAGCACAATTCAACAATTATTCACTATTAGTGGAATGCAGTCTGTGGCTGTTTAGGATGATGGTCAATGATTAATCTTTTTAGTTGATTGACAAAGTCATAAAAAAAAGGGAAGGTATGCCATAACATAAGGTTCTGAAGTCTGGGTTAAGTTAAGTTAAGTAATTATTGTTTTTACCGATAATTACAAATACTATTAATTAAAGAGGTTTTTGTTATAAAAACTATTTATAGCGTACTTAAAATTATGGCTTTGAAACAGATGCTACCCCTCGCTTAAGGACCAAATGTTACAGTATTTATCATTTTCTAGAAATTTTTGAAAATAACAGCTGATTCTTACTTTATTCAGAATATCTACTACGGACTAGACTATAGACTAGACTGTAGACTAGGCTATAATAGACTAGACTATAGACCAGACTATAGACTAGACTATAAACTAGACTATAGACTAGACTAAAGACCAGACTATAGACTAGACAGTAGACTAGACTATAGACCAGACTATAGACGAGACTATAGACCAGACTATAGAATATACTATACACTAGACTAAAGACTAGACTATAGACTAGATTATAGACTAGACTAGATTATAGACTAGACTAGATTATAGACTAGACTATAGACTAGACTATAGACTAGACTAGACTATAGACTAGACTATAGACTAGACTATAGACTAGACTATAGACTAGACTATAGACTAGACTATAGACTAGACTATAGACTAGACTATAGACTAGACTATAGACTAGACTATAGACTAGACTATAGACTAGACTATAGACTAGACTATAGACTAGACTATAGACTAGACTATAGACTAGACTATAGACTAGACTATAGACTAGACTATAGACTAGACTATAGACTAGACTATAGACTAGACTATAGACTAGACTATAGACTAGACTATAGACTAGACTATACTAGGCTATAGACTAGACTATAGACTAGACTATAGACTAGACTATAGACTAGACTATAGACTAGACTATAGACTAGACTATAGACTAGACTATAGACTAGACTATAGACTAGACTATAGACTAGACTATAGACTAGACTATAGACTAGACTATAGACTAGACTATAGACTAGACTATAGACTAGACTATAGACTAGACTATAGACTAGACTATAGACTAGACTATAGACTAGACTATAGACTAGACTATAGACTAGACTATAGACTAGACTATAGACTAGACTATAGACTAGACTATAGACTAGACTATAGACTAGACTATAGACTAGACTATAGACTAGACCAGCGGTTCCCACCGTTTTTTACTTCGCGGACCCCTTGAGGAATTTATTTAATTTCACGGACCCCCATACATATTTTGATATCTTATTGTTATAAATAATTGTTCATCCGAAAATTGTCTTAGTCATGGTCCATAAACCCTATACAATATTCCCGTACATTGAGAATATTTAGTATTTCGGAGA